ACCACACCTGATTGTGGGCTATACTAATTGTAGATACGCAATATAACTTAATAGGTTCTTCCCACCTTATCTTCAAATCTTTCAATATAATTCAGCCATGAAAGCTCATATATTTCTCATGCAATGCTTGGAATTCTTCTTCACCGCCACGATTTGTTTTCCTTCTTGTGAGCACTAGGTTTCCACCAAGGAAGATGTGATATTCAGTAGTTGACCTTCTATTCACAACCAACACAACATAATCAACATTCAAATGTGGACTTACAAACCGATTTTGTGAGGTTGAGTTAGGCTTAAACTCTAATCTTAACATGGTACCAAAGTCATGTGTTAGAGTTTATCCTAACGAAAATTGTTGTTTGTTGGGTTAGTTGTTCCATCCTCTATCGGACCACATATTAATGTCTACTCCCACACATGAGATGTATGCCTCAGTGTGAGGGAGATGTGTTGGAGATTCCACATTAACTAGAGATAAGACGAATTTATAGTATATAAATGGGTGCAAATCTTTCCTTACAAACTGATTTTGTAGGATTGAGTTAGGTTAAAATTCACTTCTTAACATAGTATCAAAGTCATGGGTTTGAGCCTATCTTGCGAGGTTTGTTGTTTGCTGAGCCTATTGTGCCACCCACTTTTAGAAAATTTGTTGTTTGTTGGGCTTACCCATGAATGTTTAGTTTATGCTCGAGATGTATATTTCTTAGCGTGAGCAGAGTGTGTTGGAAGTCTCACTTTGACTAGTGAGAAAGTCAGTTTACACTTTATAAGTGGGTGCAGACCTACAAACTAGTTTTATGAGCTTGAGTTAGACTTAAAATCCACTTCTTAATATTCTCTAACTATATGTAACTTCATCCAATAGTAAAAACCATTCTAAGGATGGGGATTTCTATTTGGTGCTAATAATTATTTGATAGAATGGGTATGAGTCATAATTTTATTTTAGATTGCTTGGAAAAATGAGTATTTGTAGTCACTTGAAAAATTTGCTTATGATGTGCAACCTAGGAAGGTTTATGAATGCTTATAACGTGTAATACCTTATTTATGTTTTCATTTCTCCATTTATTTGTGGGGTCCAGATGGTGCTTTACCTTGGAGAGGCAAGTCGACAATTTGGATGTACTGAGATTTTCAAGGAACCTTCAAAGTTTGCTTTGTCTGATTATTATGAAGAGCATTTTACCGTGCCCCATCAAAAAATTGTTTTGGTAACCAATAAACGAGTTATGCTTCTGCAGGTTAGTCCAAAATCACGTCATAGGGATTTAGGGATTGTGGATTATGCAAGCTTAGCCATTGAGATTAGGGTTATGTTTCTCTATAGAAAATAACTCACTTGTCTTTTCTGTTTCTGTCTAGTGTCTTGCTCCTGACAAGATGGATAAAAGACCTTGCAAGATTATTTGGGATGTACCCTGGGATGAGTTGATGGCACTGGAGCTGGCTAAAGCAGGCAGTTCCCAACCTTCCCTCTTGATCCTCCATCTGAAACATTTCCGGAGATCTGAAAATTTTGTGCGAGTAATAAAATGCAATAGTGTGGAAATGTTTGAAGGAAGAGAACCCCAAGCTATTAAGATATGTTCAGTTGTGCGCAAAACATGGAAGGCATATCAGTCTAACATGAAAAGCTTGATTCTAAAGGTAAGTGTTCATAGTCTGGTTCATTTCTGGAAATGGAACAGAGTTTTAATAGAATTTCACTTCTAGGTTCCTTCAAGTCAGAGACAAGTGCATTTTTCCTGGACTGAAGTGGATAGCAGAGAATCACGGACCTCTAATAGTAAGGCCATTATTAGTTCTAGAGATATTTCATCAAACAGTACAGAATCTGATGACAGGCGATTTGTGAGACACAACATTAATTTTTCGAAGATCTGGAGCAGCGAACAAGAATACAATGGTCGATGTTCATTGTGCAGCAGAAAACAGGTCCTTTACTGACTCAGTTCGTGCTAATGTTGCTTGAGCACTAGGGCATGTAGTTGTTAAGCTGAATTGAAGGAATTAAATGTAACATGCATTTCATGTTCTCAGATTTCACGAGATGGAAGCATATGTAGCATTTGGAGGCCTGTGTGTCCTGATGGGTAATTATCATTCTTCTCTACAAGCAAACTTAGCATTTGGAGCTCAAACTAGGCTTTTATTTGTTTAAAAAAATCAAATTTAAATTTTTAACTTGCCTTATTTTTAAAATATAAAAGCTTGAACTCATCTTGTTTAGCTTTTTTATGGGTTGATGACTCGTTTCCCGTCATCAAATATATTATATAAAGTTTTTCAAGTTTATTAACTTAGTGTTTAACCATGAACATTCTCATGTAGAAGATAAAGTAAAAATATAATGAAAAGGACGATAAGGGAATATTAAAAACGTTATAGTTTGGCAATGTAATTGTTTATATAAAATTATAATATACCAAGCACGCCCTTTTCATATCTAAATTTAGCATTATCATTACCCCACCCCTTTCCTTCATTGTTTGTGTGCATGTTGACTTAATTTCCTTAATTTGTCTTGATATTAGTTTAATTAATATATTTTCCTATTGCTTGAACGTATGGGTTATTTTTGTGCAAATCCTGGGAATCTTATAGGTTGGGCTTGCATTATCTGTTCAAAACTAATTTGTTTAAACAATTATCAGTTGGCATATGCTTTCCATTTAAATTTTGATGCATATTCCTATCATTTCACCTATCTTATATACACGATATTTGTATCTTAGCATGAATTTGGTCCTACCAGAATTGGTTGTACATAGTAAGTTATCTTTACATTCTGAATTTTCTGAAAAGATTAGTACTGTTCATGGCCAATGCTATATTCCAATTTGATTTGGCATGACCTAGTTAGGTTCACTACTTCCTAAACATTAAGAAAGGTCAGGGATGTACTCTGCAATTTCTGTTGACTATGTTCATCCACTTTGGAGTTGCTGAAAACATGAATTATTCTGATCAACACATTTGGAAAGATGACAATTGTTTTCTTGCATTGATGAAATGCGCTCTTGGTCCCTTGTTTATTTGAATTAATTAAACTTGAAAGGGCATGCCTTTATGCCATAGATACTNCAAATCTTTCAATATAATTCAGCCATGAAAGCTCATATATTTCTCATGCAATGCTTGGAATTCTTCTTCACCGCCACGATTTGTTTTCCTTCTTGTGAGCACTAGGTTTCCACCAAGGAAGATGTGATATTCAGTAGTTGACCTTCTATTCACAACCAACACAACATAATCAACATTCAAATGTGGACTTACAAACCGATTTTGTGAGGTTGAGTTAGGCTTAAACTCTAATCTTAACATGGTACCAAAGTCATGTGTTAGAGTTTATCCTAACGAAAATTGTTGTTTGTTGGGTTAGTTGTTCCATCCTCTATCGGACCACCTATTAATGTCTACTCCCACACATGAGATGTATGCCTCAGTGTGAGGGAGATGTGTTGGAGATTCCACATTAACTAGAGATAAGACGAATTTATAGTATATAAGTGGGTGCAAATCTTTCCTTACAAACTGATTTTGTAGGATTGAGTTAGGTTAAAATTCACTTCTTAACATAGTATCAAAGTCATGGGTTTGAGCCTATCTTGCGAGGTTTGTTGTTTGCTGAGCCTATTGTGCCACCCACTTTTAGAAAATTTGTTGTTTGTTGGGCTTACCCATGAATGTTTAGTTTATGCTCGAGATGTATATTTCTTAGCGTGAGCAGAGTGTGTTGGAAGTCTCACTTTGACTAGTGAGAAAGTCAGTTTACACTTTATAAGTGGGTGCAGACCTACAAACTAGTTTTATGAGCTTGAGTTAGACTTAAAATCCACTTCTTAATATTCTCTAACTATATGTAACTTCATCCAATAGTAAAAACCATTCTAAGGATGGGGATTTCTATTTGGTGCTAATAATTATTTGATAGAATGGGTATGAGTCATAATTTTATTTTAGATTGCTTGGAAAAATGAGTATTTGTAGTCACTTGAAAAATTTGCTTATGATGTGCAACCTAGGAAGGTTTATGAATGCTTATAACGTGTAATACCTTATTTATGTTTTCATTTCTCCATTTATTTGTGGGGTCCAGATGGTGCTTTACCTTGGAGAGGCAAGTCGACAATTTGGATGTACTGAGATTTTCAAGGAACCTTCAAAGTTTGCTTTGTCTGATTATTATGAAGAGCATTTTACCGTGCCCCATCAAAAAATTGTTTTGGTAACCAATAAACGAGTTATGCTTCTGCAGGTTAGTCCAAAATCACGTCATAGGGATTTAGGGATTGTGGATTATGCAAGCTTAGCCATTGAGATTAGGGTTATGTTTCTCTATAGAAAATAACTCACTTGTCTTTTCTGTTTCTGTCTAGTGTCTTGCTCCTGACAAGATGGATAAAAGACCTTGCAAGATTATTTGGGATGTACCCTGGGATGAGTTGATGGCACTGGAGCTGGCTAAAGCAGGCAGTTCCCAACCTTCCCTCTTGATCCTCCATCTGAAACATTTCCGGAGATCTGAAAATTTTGTGCGAGTAATAAAATGCAATAGTGTGGAAATGTTTGAAGGAAGAGAACCCCAAGCTATTAAGATATGTTCAGTTGTGCGCAAAACATGGAAGGCATATCAGTCTAACATGAAAAGCTTGATTCTAAAGGTAAGTGTTCATAGTCTGGTTCATTTCTGGAAATGGAACAGAGTTTTAATAGAATTTCACTTCTAGGTTCCTTCAAGTCAGAGACAAGTGCATTTTTCCTGGACTGAAGTGGATAGCAGAGAATCACGGACCTCTAATAGTAAGGCCATTATTAGTTCTAGAGATATTTCATCAAACAGTACAGAATCTGATGACAGGCGATTTGTGAGACACAACATTAATTTTTCGAAGATCTGGAGCAGCGAACAAGAATACAATGGTCGATGTTCATTGTGCAGCAGAAAACAGGTCCTTTACTGACTCAGTTCGTGCTAATGTTGCTTGAGCACTAGGGCATGTAGTTGTTAAGCTGAATTGAAGGAATTAAATGTAACATGCATTTCATGTTCTCAGATTTCACGAGATGGAAGCATATGTAGCATTTGGAGGCCTGTGTGTCCTGATGGGTAATTATCATTCTTCTCTACAAGCAAACTTAGCATTTGGAGCTCAAACTAGGCTTTTATTTGTTTAAAAAAATCAAATTTAAATTTTTAACTTGCCTTATTTTTAAAATATAAAAGCTTGAACTCATCTTGTTTAGCTTTTTTATGGGTTGATGACTCGTTTCCCGTCATCAAATATATTATATAAAGTTTTTCAAGTTTATTAACTTAGTGTTTAACCATGAACATTCTCATGTAGAAGATAAAGTAAAAATATAATGAAAAGGACGATAAGGGAATATTAAAAACGTTATAGTTTGGCAATGTAATTGTTTATATAAAATTATAATATACCAAGCACGCCCTTTTCATATCTAAATTTAGCATTATCATTACCCCACCCCTTTCCTTCATTGTTTGTGTGCATGTTGACTTACTTTCCTTAATTTGTCTTGATATTAGTTTAATTAATATATTTTCCTATTGCTTGAACGTATGGGTTATTTTTGTGCAAATCCTGGGAATCTTATAGGTTGGGCTTGCATTATCTGTTCAAAACTAATTTGTTTAAACAATTATCAGTTGGCATATGCTTTCCATTTAAATTTTGATGCATATTCCTATCATTTCACCTATCTTATATGCACGATATTTGTATCTTAGCATGAATTTGGTCCTACCAGAATTGGTTGTACATAGTAAGTTATCTTTACATTCTGAATTTTCTGAAAAGATTAGTACTGTTCATGGCCAATGCTATATTCCAATTTGATTTGGCATGACCTAGTTAGGTTCACTACTTCCTAAACATTAAGAAAGGTCAGGGATGTACTCTGCAATTTCTGTTGACTATGTTCATCCACTTTGGAGTTGCTGAAAACATGAATTATTCTGATCAACACATTTGGAAAGATGACAATTGTTTTCTTGCATTGATGAAATGCGCTCTTGGTCCCTTGTTTATTTGAATTAATTAAACTTGAAAGGGCATGCCTTTATGCCATAGATACTGTACATTTTTATAATGTCATATTACTTTTCCAGATATATATATATTGGGGATATTGCTCGTGTTAGTCCCCACCCTCCAAATGTGGCTGCTGTCTACCGCAAGATTGATGGATTTTTTGCTCTCCCGATGGGATATGACCTGGTAAGGTTAAAACCAAGTTAGCCTGTTACGACATTCAAATGATAGCAAATTAAGTTTCATAGGTCATTTGAGAAGAAGATTAATGTTTTTGTTATTCCAACCATTAGAAAATGAATGTAAATATTAGGCAAAGATTCATTGACAGTTATTTTCTTCAGTTTACGGTAATTGCTATTGTTTGTGTCAAAATGATTGTAAATATCAAACATCTACCACACAATAGATATAGATTGATTGTACACCCCTTCTCCTAGAAGGGTGCATCATTACCATCTTAAAAAATGAGTTTAGACCTAACTTCACAAGGTGAGATTTACATATATTTATATACTATTATTTGATATGTGGGATCTCTAATTATTTCTAAGAAATCCCTAAATTAAGGGAATGGGACTAAGATTTATTTGCTAGTTTTCTACCTGATTTGGAGTCTTTATTTTAGGAGATTTATTTTCTTTCATTAGGATTACATTTGCCTTTAAATACCCATATATAGTTACTTTTGGTATTAAGGAAAAATAATTCCACAATTATTGCTTACTACCTATCATGATTCTCACATGTTAGCAAAGCTCTAAGTTTTTCCAATAGCTATGGTCTCGCGGCCTTCATTTCTACTATGCAGAGTCAGTGATGAGGTTTATATGCCTTATATAGTATAATTTGGCTATATCTACGAGTGAGATTTCCAACAAATCCATTTGTGTCAAGGACTGAACGTTTCGAGCATGGGAGTAAATATTTATGAATGGTCCTACAGTGGGTACAAATCCAACTATGATAAGTTTTCATGCAATCTTTAGAAGTGGATTTTAAACCCTCATAGAATTGGCTTATAATATGATATTTGCAAGTACTTATACTATAATTTGTTCTAAACTGTAGTTAATGTAGAATTCTCAGCACACATGATCCCATTCAGCATAATGAGAGAAAACATATCGAAATAGACAAATACTTCATTAAGAAAAAAAGTTAGAAGGTCCAGTATGCATGACATACATTCCCGCTAGGTGGTTGATGTGTTTACAAAGGACTTTATTGCTCACACTTCCACAATCTCGAGCAATTTGGAAAGCGGAAATCTGTTCCTCATCTAGATGGGAGTGTTGAAATAAGGATGTAAATATTGTATATTTACTGAACAATAAATATTGATTGATTGTATACTAAATATAGACGTGTTTGTAAGAAATTCCTAAAATTAAGGGATTGGGAGTTTTTTTTGGTAGATTTACTCTTGATTATGAGTTTTTATTTCGGAAGATTTATGCCCTATATCATCAGAATGTTTTGACAACATGTGCAGGTGTGGCGAAACTGCTCGGAAGATTATGTTGCTCCGGTATCAATTTGGCAGCCACGGGCTCCAGAGGGATTTGTGGCTCCTGGATGTGTTGCCGTTGCTGGTTATTCGGAACCAGAGGCTGATCTTGTGTACTGTGTGGCTGAGTCATTGACTGAAGAAACAGAATTTGAAGATTTGAAGGTTTGGTCTGCATCTGACTCATATCCGTGGTCCTGTCATATCTATCAAGTACAGAGTGATGCTTTGCATTTTGTTGCGCTACGACAAAGCAAGGATGAATGCGACTGGAAGCCGAAGAGAATTCGCGATGACCCTCACTATCAGTTGCAAACACCATAATCTTAAATGTTTTAATCTCCTTTGAAAGAAGGTAGTAAGGTACGTAAGTTGGAACATTATTGTTGGATGCGTCTTTATTACTACCTTTCCAACATTCAATGGTGACGGCTGCCTACGCTCTGTTGCTCGGCTCTTCACTAATATTTCATGGTTTTCACAATCTAAACAAGGACTGGCCACAGGGCTCTATTACAAAGGTTCGCCTATTTCTGATGTCATTCCATTATATTCTGATAGCTCAATTCCCTGAACCTAAACTCTCTCTACAACAACTTGTGTATAACCTTTTTTTTTGTTGAATTCATTCTTAGCATCTTTTTTTTCTATAATTTTAACTTTACAAAAATCTGTATAATTTTAGTTGTGTTTTGTAATTATTTTTTTATTACTCTTATGTTTCTCTTTCCATCTTAATGAAGTACCCACAATAAAAGCATAAAATTTAATTAAATCATTTATTTTTGCAAGTGCTTACGTTTGCTATAATTTTAATATAAATTTTAATGATAATTTTTTTATTTTAATAATCATTATAATTATTATTTTTTAATTTTCTTATCATTATAAGAAAAAAGAAGACATATATTTCTACTGGAATTAGCTACATTTGATTAATCAGGAGCAACAAGCTACCTAGGACTTGAATTTGTCGAAAATCTAAATTCCTTTATTTGTGCAATGATGGTTATCCAATGGCAGGTAAATATAAATCTTATATAGAAAAACCCATTAAGGATCTCGTGTCACTATAATCCTATTATTGTGCATAAACCATTATTTTCTCTGAGCAACGAAGTACTTTAGCTAAATCTATTGTCTACGTCCCGCCTGCTTAGATTCTAATAGTAGCATGACCATTGTAAACAAAATGACATGCCCTAATCCATTAGAATTAGATTATGAATCGTTGGAAATAATCTATGAATCAAAGTCTTAAAATAAATATAAAAAGATAAAATTAAACGCTATATAAAATAAATATAAAATAAGATATCTATTATCAAAATATTTTTTTATTAAAAGTGGTATCAAATACAGAAATCAGACTCCATGTCACGTATATAATCTTTTCTTAATAAATTTCTATATGAAATAAATTCCGTCATGAATAAACATGTGTTTAGTATAGTTCACTTTTTATTATATGATTTAGTTCCGCTTTGGGTGAATCAACAGTCCTATTTAAACATCTGTTCACACGAGTCTATTAACCGAGTTTTAAGAACTTACGTATTACTATTTTTTCCTTCTTCCAAAGAACAGAACTGAATGTTTAAACATGGGGGAGGTCAGAACAAAATCAATGAAAACCCTACCTATACCAAACTTTTCCATCTTTAAAAATAATAAAATTAAAAACGTAAACTCGGTTTGTCAAGTTCTGTAACATATAATAGCATTGGAAAGTCAATTAAGTTGTGAGCGCACTAATCTGATCTCCCAATACGCGGGTCATCCCATTCTTATTTTTCCTTCTTTCATTCTTCTCATTTCCTTTGAACAAGGAATAAGACAAAGAAAAGACAAATTTATAATAAAAAAAAAAGATAATAGCAAACAAAAGGAGAACCTATCTTATTTGGTTAGCAAATTAAGTTGTTATTAAGTTTCTAATTCATGTTCAATCATTATGGATAAAATAAAAACAAAGGATTGCATATTTACTATTTTCTTTTAAATGATAAAGGCTCCTCTCACATAGAAGCCTTCGTGGGAAAAAGAATTGCTTTAATTAAGAAAATCAAATTTACAATGAATATATAAGGAAAGAGAGAAAAGAAAATAGTGAAGCTTCAGTCAGTTGTATTAACGCCAAGAAAGCGTCCCAAAAGAATTAAATTAAAAAAAAATACTAGTAAGAGGCGTCTATAGAGATTTTTTACAAAGAAGCTAAAATGTGCAGAACTGTCCTGTACTTCATTCTCCTGTACATCACTGAATATATTCACATGGCAAGGATGCTGCTGCTGCTGACGCCGGCTCACAACCATGTCAGAACGAAGCATCTTTTGAACTGTTGGATTTATCAAAAACTTAGCATCCAGGTTCGTAATCTAAAGCTTTTGTTTGTTTGTTTTTTCTATCAGAATCCAGATTCATGAGCCCAAAATGCATCTGGGTCGGGACAAAATAGAGAAAAATCTTCAATTTCTAGATTTGCTATGTGCCAATTGACAAATCGAGCCTGTATAGACTTGAATAGAAAAAGGATGATAGGTAACAGCCAACATTTATCATCTTCCCTGTAAGAATGTCATGTAACCAGACTTCAAAACAAAGCTTTTATAAACAAGAAATAAACAAATAAGATACGAACAATTAACAAACCCAGCTAAAACTATTTTAGCTGCAAAGGACTCCATAGTGACACTATAAATGAACGGCATGAATATAATCTGCCATTTCTGCTTGTGATTCATGTCAGTCCCTGAAAGTTTATCTATGAGATGTTTCTTTCAGACTCCCTGTTAGAATTAAATTAGCTAGGGTTGGCACTTGTAACAAGTTTATTATCAAATATGACAGGATAATTTTCTTCCTCGGACATCAAAAACCTCCATGGAGAGGCAGTTCAATGATGATGCATAATTCAATAGGCTATCTTGTTCAAATACAAATAAATCTGATGGCTTTATAGTATAATATAGACAAGATGATAATGTTATACACTTTTTGAGTATATCTTTACTTTACTGCAACAGAAGTAAATTTAAACAAAAAATGTAGGTTGTTTGTAGCATAAGCCATTGTTGTTTGAGATAAAATGGTGTCATTACAAATTGACAGCCTTACCTCTTAATATTACGCGCACTTGCTTCGTCAGGGTGGTGAAAGTGGGATAGTGCATAATGAAGGAGACAACAAATAAAAGCAACTCCCTGCACACATGCCCGTACACAAACAAATATTAGATAGTGAAAGCTACATTTCAAATGTAATAATTCAAAATGCCCATAATTCTATAAATATTACAGGGCATTACCAATTCTGCAATTCAAAGTAATTTTCTTGACATTAGAGCTCTACTAATTGGTTTCTATAAGCAGCAAATATTGAGACAGATAGGAGGCTTAATGTTTGAGATGTAGAATGTATCATAATTTTGATTCTATTTCAATGCTTCAAAGGCTTTATGCAAAAACCTTTTGCTACAAACATTAGTCAAAATCCTCTACAATAAATTTTTACGGGCAAATTTAATTAGTAAAACAAGAAGATTTTTTTACTGAAAATAGTATTCTTCAAATAAAAAATTGCTACTGTTAATATAAGCCTTGTTAACAACTTCAATATTCTTAGGAATTGCAATTTAGTCACTAGAGCTTTTAGATGTCTTAACAATATTATCTGCAATAACCACTTTCAGATATCTATCGCAGCATCTTTACTGCAGGTTGTTCACAACAAAGCCAGTCGAGATAATTGACAGTCAAGATTTAATAAAAAAACTTCACAAGTCTGAAATATTTTGGACTCCTTCTACCCATATTCTTCTTGAAATAGAAGCACATTAAAGCTATGCATCATAAGCATGATGGGGGAATTTGCTGCGAGCAACTTATGGTGAAATGCTCATTTTTTTCCACTTACACATACACCATAGTTATGCTAAGTTGTATAACGGTATAGACAGAACTTACAATATTAAATAAAGAAGTAGCATTCCACAGTGCATATACTCGAAAAAGTGAAGCTCTTCTGGGTTCTTTACTGAATAATGCATTCAGACCAGCAGGAAACGGAGAAAGTAGAGAAAGAGGAAGAATTAGTAGAACAGAAAGAAAAGCGGCAAGAGAAATCCAGTAGAACTGGAGCAACATGAGGAGAGTGACAGAAAGATCTGCTAAAAGCATCAACGTAATCAGAAACTGTACAGTGTCCTGAAACAAAGATGTCAATGCATTAGACAGTGTTCAATTTATAGTTGTGGAGAGGTGAATCACCTAAAATAGTTTAACTACCTGGCGACCAACAGGTCTAGTATTGCACAACAGGAGAGAAAGTGGGAATAGAAAGTCCCTTTTAAAGTCCAATGATTTTAAGGTAGCATCATTTATAAGGCCGCCATTAATTCCTCCGGTTATCCTTTTAAGAGATAATGAATTACTCATATATGGCCAACTATGCTGCAGCTGCTTAAGATTCTTTTTTCCTTGTGGCACATTTTTCCTGCAGTACGTAACAGATAAATAAATAACGTAAGCCTGATAAAACACAGGATTTAAACTGAATCTGTACAAATCATCATCTACGAGATAATAAGAAATATCAAGAAACAATGCAAATTGAAGGCTATAAGCATAGAATTAGTAAGAATTTAGGGATTAGGGTTTATGCATAAGCAAATCACACATTGTGCTGGATTTCAATATCAATTTGATCAAGGGAAACAAGAATCATCTCTCAATACCCATTCATATCATAACAAAGTAAAAAAAATCCAAGCTTCTACGCCAAGACCTGAGTAAGCATCCTGCCTTTTTTTCCTAACCCATCTAAGCTAATAGATCAAGTTTCTAAAAGTGCGTATTATAAATCATCTTACTATCACAAGGAATAGCAATAGTCATAAACAACATCTAACAGCTTTGAACGAATACATGTTCAGTTTAAGAATGTGTTTTCTGTTTAATAATAATTACTAAAGTTCCTCTTATTTTAATTTGTTTCCTATTTCCTCAGACTTTTCCAACCCTGGAAAAGTGAATATATTTCACTGATTTAATGGGGAGGTATAAATAAGAATAGGACAACAATTCCGTACACTAATATGGCCTAAATAACAGGAAAATAATTATTCTTATAACTGCTGCAGCTAAAATGAAGGAAGAACAGATCGTAATAACATCAAATGCTATTAACAACAGCATAAATGAGACATGAGGAGTTACAGCACCAAAACTAAGACTTCGAACAAAATAGGTATATCCAAAGACGGGAGGGGTTACAGGGCAGAGAGGTTACAGGGCAGAGAGGTTGGTGAAGGAACAAAAAAGAGTGAGGTATTTGATTGTAATTGAGATAAATAAAAGAAACTATATTTGAGAGAGCTTAATCACTCCTCTCATTCTCATATTTATGTTGATAGAATTTTGACACGATTGAGTAAAGAGCAAAGATCAAAAGCATAAACTATAGTCCTAGGTACAAAGATAGGTACAACTCATAGGTCCATCATATAACAGTTTTCTAATACAATTACTTACTTCCGACATTTAATACCTATTCTAAAAATCCCCCTCAAGTTGGAATATACAAATTCTATGTACAAAGCTTGGAATAAATAAATTCAATCTGATGTCCCCTTAAGGA